GAAATTAGTGTCTACTGTATACCTATTGTCTGCCAGACGCTTTTATAAGAATTCTAATTTTTTTCAATTTATAATCCTTTAAGTTTGAGAAAATTGATCCTTAAAGAGATGCTAAGTACCCAAAGGGCAAGATAGCATACTTGGTATGTATTCAACCATTCCATTAAAATTTATTGAATGTATACTATGTGCTTGAATCCCTATTCCAATCACCTCTAGCAGTTTCTGCTATCACAGTCCAGGGCCAAACTACCGCCGTATTTAACTTGAAAGCTGCACCTACTTTCTAATGGTATCCCTAGCTCCCAACTCTGGCCATTCTACCAACTGAGTAGTAGACTTGAGTTCTGGCCAACTAAATTAAACCCTCAGCAGCCAGAACAATCATTCTAATGTACAAATCATAGTATATGTTTAACCCTCTCAGCATGCTTAGAATAAACTCTTTATCTCATGGTCTTGCTTTAGTCTTGTTGGCCTCTATAATTTCATTTCCCTTCATACAGATCTCACACATTCTTTAGTGTATTCCAGCTAATGGCCTGTCTTGGCTTCTTTCTGTAGTTCAAACATCCAATGCAGTGCCTTTCATAGAAAATTTACTGCTGCTGCTGCTGCCTGAAGCATTCTTCTACCAAACTTCTGCCTGCCTCTTCTCTATATTCATGTATCAACTCAAACGTTGCCTCTTTGGAGGCAACACCATAGGCAAGATGGTACCTCTAGACACTATGTCACTGCCCTACTCCATTTTGCTTCCTCGGAGCACATATCAACACCTCATGCTTATTAATTAAGCATGTGTTTATACAAGTATTTCTTCCTCACTAGGATGTATGATCTTTGCTTCAGTTGACTTTACTCCTTATTTGCTGGGAACAAATTGTGACACATAGTACATCCATTTAAAAAATCGTGTGATTAACTGCCTACCCAACTTGTTATTCGTGGAGTATATTGAACTCCTTCTCTCAGGCCCATACAATAAGGGAAAACAGCTAGTAAACCAAAACATTAAAAAATAATTTAAAGATACTGTAGAAAAGATTGCTTAGGAATATATTGACTATAAAAGGAAGTAGTTGATGCTGGCCTTGGGGCAAGTGAATGATGGCTTCACATAAGAAGTTGAGTCTTGTAAATCAAGACAAAATGAGTGGGGAGACAAGACAAAGAGGCATGCAGATAGTTAGTATGGCAGAAACAAAGCTTGTAAATGCAAAATAAGGGACTACCTACTCCCTCCCCCATACTTCCCTAATTAGGTCACAACTACAAGGTAAAGTAGAGACATAAAATGTAAAAAAGGTAGGCATGCATTGTGGTTAAAACATCTGTTAAGAAGTCTGCATCTCCACTCATGGTTTATACCACCTTGGGGTGCCTGCATTCCACCTTGGGAGACTCTGCTCCCAGTTCAAGCTTTTTGCCCATGTTGACTCTTGGAGGGAGTGTTGATGTATCAAATGGGAGTCCTGGATTTTGTTCTTTGGTCCCCACTGTGGGTTTATCCCAGCCCCAGTTATCATAGGTGTTGGATGTGAACCATTAAATGGGGGTTCTCTCTTTCTCTGCCTTTCAAGTTAAAATAAAAAGGCCTAAAATGGAGGAGCCAAACATTGCTATTCAGATTTAGCCATTTTAGCAAGTCATATATGAGGAATTAGTCTGGATTAGGATTTTGAAAGCACAATCCTGCCAAATACATTGGATTGATTTACAGTGTGAAGACACTCGTGATCCTTCAAAGATTTTTGACTCTTGTCATTTTGTGAGTGCCCACCCTTATTTGTCTCTGGCACAGGCTTTCCTCTGTACATCTATGTATGATTGTACAGTGTACAGACCTAAATCCTCACCATCAGTAGGGACTTTGAAACAAGTCATTTCCCAATGACAATAACTCATTGACACCTATAACAAGAATCAATTCTAATTGCAAATGACCTCCTGCAATAGTACTTTTCTTTTATGGACTTTTACATAGATAATGATAATTTATGCCTGACAGTTCACACAAAAGTTGGTGTTACTGATGTCCTCTAAAACCTACTCTACATCTTTGAAGTAAAATGCGGGCCCATGTCTCTAGTGATGTACATAAGGTCCTTTGGGAAAAGATGGTTATACTTTAGATTGACTAAAAAGGAAAAACCCACTCTTCAGCCTTGAATAGAAAGGTAGTAGTTCTTAAAGTCAAATTTGTACTGGGAAAAGTGACCACAACCTTGTTCTGGAAGAACTGTCACTTAATCTTTGAAAAAGGTTGAATTCTGGCTACAGGGAGATTGTGTTCTAGACTAAATCCATTTTCACACATGCACTGGTTGAACAGGTAACCCTAATGGATCCAAAATGTTTGTTTGTGTCAAATTGTTTTTATAGTATATTTTAAGTAATTTAGGTCACTATTCTTCTGACAATGACTCCACTATAGAGGGGAAAGAAAATTCCAGATGGAGGAAAACAAGTGTAAAAATCTTGATAGAAAAATCCTGTAGCATTGCCAAGGAAGGCAGTGTTACTGGTTGATGTGGAAATTTCATCAGAGATGGAGCATAGTGTGGACCTTAATGGTTACCTTGGATTTTATTTTCAATCATACAGGGAATGGTAAAGGAAAGCAGAGAAGATACATGATCATCAGAGTTAAGCTTTAATAGAATCATGCTGGCTGTTCTGGAGTAATTTTTTTTTTAGGAAACTAATCATAAATTTAAAAATTTAAAAGTTCCAAAATGGCTTTCGTACAACTTAATAACTGTAAAAACATTTCATGCTCCTTACATTATTATTGTGTATTTACATTTGTACTACTGAAGCAAAACCTAATTTTAAATGTCTTCCTTCCTATTTTTCACTCACCTTTAACAGAAGCAGAAGTTTTTGTTTGCCTATTGGATATAATATCACAACCCATACAACACATTTTGGCTCTGTGAAGGACTACTCTAAATTTTCTTGTATATGTTCCATGTTAAGTCCTACTTCTACATCTACACTACTATTTCTTATCCTATCATCCCATCTCATTCCTGTTCACCATTTAAAGTCAGCCCAGTTGCCAAAAGGCTTTACCATTTTTTCCATTGCTATTGACACCTTTTGTAAAATGCTTATACTCTCAAAGTACATCACTGGGGATTTTGTAACCATATGTGTTTTGGATTTTGTTTGGGGGCAGTTTTATGTTTTTGTTTTGTCTAACAAGGGATCCCCTGGGAAAGTAGATCCATGTCTTTATTTGTCACATAAACAAAGTCTCAGCTTGTAACAGATGCTCAATAAGTACCTGATAATTGACTCTTGGATCCTTCAATCCATTTCTACAAATCTATATTCTCCAGTGAGATTAAGTTATTTTAAAGTGGTTTTCAATGAAGGTTGTTACTGGTAAACCAGGAGAATGGATGATGGTAGAGCAAGCCTTGTGAGAAAGTGCCTCTTTGTGAGAAAGTTGCACTTTGGGCTCTGTGCATCTATGACTCTTCGCTTTCCTAAGTACTGAAGAGCATACATAGAGAGCTTACCAATGCTCTTTTCTCAGGTGTAACAGCAGTAGACTTATGTGTCCTTAAGCTTATAACTTTTTTTTTTTGCTTTTTAAAAAACTTATTTCAGAGGCAGTGTAACAGACACAGAGAGAAAGAGAGAAAGGTCTTCCATCCACTGTTTCACTCCCTAAATGGCCACAACAGCCATAGTTGGGCTGATCTGAAGCCTGGAGATTCCTCCAGGCCTCCCATGTGGGTGCAGGGGCCCAAACAATTGGGCCATTTTCCACTGCTTTCCCAGGCCATAAGCAAAGAGCTGGATTGGAAGAGGAGCAGTTGGGACACAAATCAGCACACATATGGGATGCTGACACTGCGAGTGGAGGCTTAGCCTATGCCATGGCACTGCCCCAATTTCTTTGCTTTTTTTCATGCATTTTTAGTTGATAACACTTAGTGCAAATACAGAAAGCCTTTGTGCTGAAGGCATTTTTTATTACAAGTGTTAATATGATAATGTAGTCTACCACAATAGGTACCTTATTAATAACAAAAAGTAATCAAATGCTGAATTTGGGAGTCTATATATGGTATTCAGATGTATTACTAAGCATGAAAGAAACATCTTCAAGATAAAATTATTCTTACACTATATTTTTATCATTTGTGCATAAGAACAGGGCATACAATGGTAGAGTACATTTTCCAATATAGGAAATAGGAACCACAATTGCTCTCAATAAAAAGTTGGTTTTATAACAAGAGACCAAGTCTAACACCATGGTAGTAGGGACAGTGGAAATCTAAATGTATTTTTCAGGGTTCTTTGTCTCATTTTATTATACAAAACAGCCATTTATTATAATGGAGATGTTTTACTTTCATTAAAAACAGTAATGATTAAAAATAAGTATATTATTGAATTTTGCTGCTTATATTTTTTAGGAATAAAAATCAATATACTTGAATTTTCTTCACATGAAATGTGGTTTTACAATCTATACAAAGAGCCAATTCATACATAGACTTCTGGACCTAGAATACATGTTAAAATAATGCACACCATTAGAACAGGGATAAACAACCAAGTTTACCCTGCCCTTCAAAATTCAAGGAATTGCTTAATCCTGAGATAGGGGAAGTAGTCAGTGAAGTAGAAGAAGTCGTGGCTAGATACCACAGCAGGAGACTGAATATGAATATGTAGGCTGTTTTCTTGTTAAAGGGATAATATAAGTCAACTTCCTAGCCTATTAGCACTTAATGGTGGAACTTTAGAGAATAAATGTTGGGGAAACTAGTCTTTAGATGTCACTGTCTCATTCCTAATAAAATACGTGGGTTATTTGTGTGTATTGTTCAGAAGACGAAGGAATTCTCTTGTTCTACATTGCCTCATTAAAAATTTATATAGGATTATTGATTGTTTTACAAGTATGGTCGTTAAAAGTAATCAGATATCCTTTTCCATATTACTTGATTAATATTCTTTGCTGTATGCTTCAGGCATGAACTTCTTGAAGAAGCCCGGAGAAAGGGATTACCTTTTGCCCAGTGGGATGGGCCCACCGTGGTTGCATGGCTAGAGGTAAGAGAATTAGAATGGAAGGTTCGTAAATTCATCACTGCTAACTTGATAGAATTCAGAGACATGTAAATACAGGTTTCTGAAGTCAGTTTCTCAGTCACCTGGAATTACTCATAAAGAAAATGTTTGCTTTTCTAGGGACCTGTGAGTATTGTGATTTTTCTAACATTTTATTGTGATTGTAGCAGAAGAATGTATACTAAGGAATACTAAGCGTGTCTTTACATTCCACCCCTTTCATGTATAGAACAAGAGAAGAAACAACTATTGAGCTGCCTTATGGTTGGAAGAAAAGTTATTTTTGTTATTCCAGGGTTCTTCCTTATCAAGGGTTACAAAGAACTATCTCCATATTCAACATTTGTTATCCAAATTACCAGCATCACCTAATTGTGTAGAACACTGCTCCTTTGCTTAAAATTTAATTTTGGAAACTAATTCTCTAATTTTAAGGACATGTTGGTTTTGTCCTTTGGGTTAAGGCAGAAGATTTATTCCTTGCTCTTTTCTATATCAACACAGAATTAACATTCTGTTCAGCCCATGTCAAGTATGTTAAGTAAATAAATTGAATTCAAGTTAATGAACAAATAACTACATTCAGCAGATCTTGCTCAATACAGTGTTAGGGGGAAAAAAAGGCAATATCTAAACAGAGAAGGCAGCAGGGGCAGGATTTGACAGTGAGAGAAATATGTATTTAATCAGCCTTTTGTGCCTCTGTTAGTCGTGTTCATTGCCCCTTCTATTAGTTTTCTAATGTGGGCTGTGAGCAGCCACTACAACATGCCTAGGTCATGGTAAAGAATGTAGATTGGGTCTGGTGCTATGGTGTAGCAGGCTCAGCCTCCACCTGCAGCACCAGCACCTCATATGCGCCCTGGTTCATGTCCTGGCTGCTGCTTTTCCAATCCAGCTCTGTGCTGTGGCCTGGGAAAGCAGTAAAGGATGGCTCTGGTGCTTGGGCCCCTGCACCCGTGTGGGAGACCCAGATGAGGCTGCTCCTCCTGGCTTCACATTGCCTCAGCCTTGGCCGTTGGGGCCATTTGGGGAGTGAACCAGCCAATGGAAGACCTTTCTCTGTAACTTTGCCTCTCAAATAAATAAAAATCTTTAAAAAAAAAAAATGTGGGCTTCTCCTGCCTGAAAGAGGCAAACACACATTGTGTTAAATAGTTAGGGGTTACAAAATAACTCAGCTCCATTATCATATCCAGAGTTTCCTAAATGATCCATGAAGAAAATATTAAAGCCCATCTTAGTTTAAGCAATAAACTTATGTAGATAGATGTAAAAATATACTTTGGTTTTTCTTGAACCAATTTAAAGAAACTTTGGTCTTTTATTTCATAGCAGTTAAGAAAATTTTAGCATATTAATGATCTTCCAAACATATCTTTAAAATTACTGTATTTTAAAAATCAATTACAAGACAGAAGCTTCAGAAATGGCACCACAAACATGATAGCAGTGCGTTACTCAGTTTCACTCCGGTAAAATGAGGTACAGTTTGACATAGAGTTAACCGCTGTTTTGGCAAGTGATGAAGAAATCCTTCAGATTAAAAAAAAAAAAAAAAGCTTCACTGACATTAAGATGGTAGAAAATGACAGGCGGTGAAGTTTGTGCTAATTAAGCCTATCCTGAGCACACAGAAATAGCTCTTAATGTGAATCCTAATGTGACTCAGTTTATAGGAGCAAAAAGCCCCACAAGATGAATGAGCTGTGTGATCCAGTGAATGAGACCTCTTAACTTGTGCCTCCTGTGCACAGCCTGGTAAGAAAGTGTTACAGGGGAGAACCTGATGCTTCATGTACTATTGGTCCACATCAAAATCCTTCAAGTATAGTCCCGGATGACACTGCTAACAATGTACTGGCGGGCATTTTGGCAGTGTTAACCAGTAGAGAAATCCAAACATCTTAGAAAAGGGGAGTGGAAAATCCCTGAGGTCCAGCCTGGGAATATTTAGATGTTTAGTATTTTGAAGAGTTGGACATTTTGAACATTTTGAGTTTATAACTAAGAAGTCAGGTCCCATCGTGTCACAGCTATGAACCTGTCCAGGTCAGGTCGATTCTTGTTTCTAGTAAGACACCTCTGCCATGCAGTGTACTTGGAGTCCCTCATTTCTCTTACCTCAATCAGAACCCAGACCACATTGACCCCAAAATTGTTTTTTGTTTAACTTTTCCTCTTTTAATATTGCAGACTTTTTAAACTAAAAGAGTATCTGTATTATTTATTTTTGTGTGATGAATTATCCTCAAATGTGGCAGATTTTAAAATCTCATGCCTTGGAGAGGTCAGTGATGGCATGGTGCTGAGCTGTGTTGAGAGTCTGAACAAGCTTACATCACAGTCTCGGAAAAGCACTCATCGCACAAGGCTTAACTGGGGAAACTGTGTTTCTAAGCTCACTCATGTGGTCACAGTCAGGATTTAGTCTCCTGCTAGCTGTTGGCCAAAACCATCAGGTTCTTGTTATTTGGAGCTCTCCATAGTGCTACTCACAGCATGACAGTTGGTGTTCCCAGAGTCGGAGAAACAAGAATGAAGCCAAAACTTGAAAAATTACAGCCCCTGATTTTTATCACAGGCTGTTTGTTAGAAATAAGTCCAGTCTATCCTCAAAGTAAGGTTATACAAGGGCATCAATTTCAGGAGGTGTGGATCACTAAGAAGTTGTCTAACAAAATACCATAGAAATAATAAAGCTTAATCCCTTCATTTTAGAACTTAGGAAAATAGGGCCGAGTTTTAAGTGTACTCCAGAACTCACCAAAGACCTGGTAGATAGTAGAGCCCAGCCCTTCTGATTCTTGGTCTAGAGTTCTTGGCATTATATATTGCTGATTTATAGCTTTTTTTCCCCCTCACTTCTCCTTAAAAAAAAGGAAAAAACTCTTCGCCTTGCTCAATCTCCTCATGTCACCAAATAAAATAACAAAAAAAATTCAATATTTTCGACATAGAAAAAAATGAAGATTTACTTTTTAAAGATTCATTTATTTGAAAGAGTTACACAGAGAAGGAGAGGCAGAGAGAGAGAGCAAAAGTCTTCCATCCACTGGGTCACTCCCCAATTGGCTGCAATGGTCGGAGCTGTGCCAATCCGAAGCCAGGAACCAGGAGATTCCTCCAGGTCTCACACACGGGTACGGGGGCCCAAGGACTAGGGCCATCCTCTACTGCTTCCCCAGGCCATCTTGGAGAGCTGGATCGGAAGTGGAGCAGCTGGGACACAAACCGGTGCCCATATGGGGTGCCTGCACTGCGGGCACAAACCTGCTACACCACAGCGCCAGCCCCTAAAGATTTGAACTACTATTTTTCATATTTCTTGCATCTTATTCCTAGCAAATAATGGAAATAGGGGAGAGATTTCTTTTTTAAATCTGTGTAACTTGGATGCCGCAACAAAATGTAAGTAAATGGATTTTCATTCCACATATCTGACTTGTGCCTAAGATGTGCACCAGACGTGTTCTGTGCATAGCACTACTGATCCAGTTGTCTTTACAAGAGCCTTACATAAAGCCTCAAAACTTTAAATCTGTAATTTCTGATACATTATTAGTCTTGTTACTCTCTAGCTACAGTTTCCTGGATGGTTCTACCTTTAGTCTCTTTGACTAGAATATTTTTTTCTCCAAAAGCATTAGCATACGTAGCATCTAATTAAGCTCACCTGGCTATCACATGGGATTTGATCCAAATTAAAAAGCTGAAAATGGTACTGCTGCCTGTGTCTATGACAATTTCTCTGCACCAAGAATTCCAAAGGAGTATCATAAATTGAAGTCATTAATTACATCATTATTGGTGGAATCCCATACCAAATGCATCCTGGAGCTGTTCTTTGTGATCTTGCACACAGTGGAGAATTTGGTGCCCTGAGGTTGTAACTTTTGTTCTTAGTAATATGTGGAATTTTCAAAAAGTTCATGGGAAATGTTTGTTACAATAAAACTATCCATGTATTTCAAATTCTTTTTCACTAAAATATAATTATCTCTTAAGTCCAATTTTCTGTCAACATTCTGAAGCACCCTGTCATGAACCAGTTCAAATATAATCTTGAGTCAGAATACCTCAGTTTCAAACCTTTATCCCATTACTTTCAGGTTTTTAAAAAATATATTTAATGTCTCTATGCATCTGTCTCCTATGAGGCAAATAAATATAGTATTTGTTATAGGGTTATGAGCAATAAATGTGTTCATATATGTAAGGTAATTGGAAAAACCATTAGTATGTAAGACACTAAAATGTTAACTGCTACTATTGTTATTGTTATATTTTTTCCTCTCCAACAGCTCTGGCTGGGAATGCCTGCTTGGTATGTGGCAGCCTGCCGAGCCAATGTGAAGAGTGGTGCCATCATGTCTGCTTTATCTGACACTGAGATACAGAGAGAAATTGGGATCAGCAATCCTCTGCATCGCTTAAAGCTCCGATTAGCAATCCAGGAGATGGTTTCTCTAACAAGCCCTTCAGCTCCTCCAACATCCCGAACTGTGAGTCAATTTGTACTCCTCTCCTATCCCAGTGCTGGGTAAATAGCAGTATGTCTGTGTCCACAGAGCAAAATGTGGCTGCGTACATTTCAGTGTCAGCATGAATTATTCTGAAGAGATGTAGCTTGATCTTCATTAACCTTGCTGCTACTTTTAATAGGTTTCCAATTGAGGAGCTGTGATTCATATCAAACTGGAAAGCTGCAAGCAGTCTAGACTTTAGAGCTAACATTGAGACTCTCGTTTAGATTTTTCTCCCAGGCAACAAGACTCCTCTGAGTTTACTCATTTTTAAAGATTGTCTTTTTTTTCTTTATTCACAATTTCTTTGGAGGGGAACTATAGTTGGTACTGGTTTCTGAAGTACTTAGCATATGATGTCTTAAGTTCTTAAAATTAAAATAGCACATGAGTTTGATGTTTTGTAACTATCAAGGGAAATGCCTTCCTTTAAAATGTATGGTTTTTTTTTTTTTCATTTATAAATCTCTTGTCCTTTTGTAACTTTGCCCCTTTCCTAATATTAGGGAAGAAAAAAGATATTTAAAAAGCATATTTGATGACAAATTTAACCACTAAGAAAAACTCCTAAATGATGCTGCTTTCTTGTTTCATTCCTTTGCTAAATTATATATTTCACTGACAAAGGTTATGATTTCTGGTACTGACCTGATTTCCCAAGCTCTGTCTTTCTAGTGTAGCATAATAAAGGATAAGGAAAATAATTTAAAGATTAGATGAAACATATAAAACTGATATTACTCTACTGAAGTTTTTAGGCATAAGACAAACCTAAGTTTTATATATGCTGATGCATGATTTTTAAAGAATTTTCTTTTCTATTGCTTTTACTCTTATTTTTCTTCCCAATAGAGTCATTAGATTCTAATCTTAGTAATACATGGTCAGATTTCAAAAACTTGTATCTTTCATTCATAATTTCCTTTTAGTTTCTTTTTAAGTAACAGAAAATACATAATGTAAAGTATTATTTCCTAGCTGGGGTGTCGCTCCCCCTCTTCGTGGAGGAACGACACTAAGTCCTGCCTAGGCTTCATATCCGAGTCACGGCACCATTATGTCGCTCCCCGTCTTCGTGGGGGAACGACACAGGACCCTGCGCTGTTCTTTCGTCTGCTCGGCCCTCCCCGGGTTTGCTGCTGGTTCTTCCCGGGTTGGCTACTATCCCTTCCACCTCCGTGGAAGGGCAGTTCCCCCTGGCCACATTCCCCACTTCCGCAGGGGAGCGGCACACCGCCGGCCGGGTCTCTCGGGGGCTGCACGGGTGTTCCCTCAGCTAGATGTTCCCCATAGATGTTCCTGGTGCATGCCGTCTCTCTCCTCCTTTATAGTCCTCCTCCGCCAATCCCAACTCGGCTGCCCACACGCCGAGTACGCTGCTCTCCTCCAATCAGGAGCAAGTCCTACAGTTAATTGGTTGAACTGGAGGCAGCTGTGCGGAAGCTGTTTACTTCTCTCCCAGCGCCATATTGTGGGAGAGCAGATGCATAGAATAAGTCTCAATTCCAGTAACAGTCTAGTCCGAGCTGCTCCCCACATGGGGTACCAGTCAAGCTAAAAAATAACTTATGATACATTTAAAATAAAAATTGAGCAAGCCTATAAGATAGTTTCTGTAAACTCAATTCAGATCTGGTGAAGCTTCCTGAATCATTTTCAGCTAGTGAGAACCATCAAAACTGGCTTATATCAGCATCCTCTTTCTGTCTGAGTCCATATTCTGTTGCTCTAACAAACTACTTGAGGCTGGGTAATTAAAAAAGGTTCATTTAGATGCTGGTTCTGGAAATCTAACAGCATGGCACTAACATCTGTTTGGCTTCCGTTGACCTCATGGCGAAAATCAGAAGAGAGAGCAAGTACTTGTACAGGATTGTTAGAGGAAGCAAGAGAGCAGCCTTGCTTTATAGCTGCACACTTTTGAGCTAACTAATCCATTTCCATGATTACTGGCTCATTCCCATAAGAAGGCACCCAGCTTTGAAAGAACATAACCCAGTCTCTCAAGAGACATACACCCATTCATGAGGGTGGATGCCCCATAACCTCTTAAAGAAGCCATCACATCCCAAGGGCAAATGCAAGCAAAAATATTAGAAATTTCAAATCTTAAAAGAATAAGAGCATTTCTAACTCTACAATTAGAGGTAAGTCCGATTGAGCATGTGCCGAACTGTACATCTCCTCCCTCTTATTCCCACTCATATTTAACATGGATAACTTTTCAGTTAAATTTAAAAACCTAAGATTATGTGTTAATTAAAAAGTTCAACCAATGGCATTAAGTAAAACAAAAAAAATACTAAAAGGAATAAAGTAGTAAGTTGTGCCAGGGGATTCCAATTCAATCCCATCAAGTAGCATGTACCAATGCCATCTCACTAGTCAAAGTGATCGGTTTCACCTCATAATTGATTATAATGATAGGATTGTGTCAAAGGGATCACATAAACAAGAATAGTGTCTGCTAATACTAAGTGATAGAATTAAAAAGGGAGAGAACGATCCAACATGGGAAGTGGGATACACTACAGACTCATAGAATGGCAGAGGTCCTAAACAGCACAACTGGCCTCAGAATCAGCCCTTAAGGCATGCGGATCTGGCTAAAAAAACCCATGAGAGTTTTGCAGGCATGGAAAGCCAAGACACTGTGGCTAAAAAAGAAATGATCTAGGCTGGCACCGCAGCTCATTAGGCTAATCCTCTGCCTGCGGTGCTGGCACTCAGGGTTCTAGTCCTGGTTGGGGTGCCGGATTCTGTCCCTGTTGCTCCACTTCCAGTCCAGCTCTGCTGTGGCCCAGGAAGGCAGAGGAGGATGGCCCAAGTGCTTGGGCCCTGCACCTGCGTGGGAGACCAGGAGGAGGCACCTGGCTCCTGGCTTCGGATCGGTGCAGTGCCGGCTGTAGTGGCCATTTCGGGGGTGAACCAACGGTAAAGGAAGACCTTTCTCTCTCTCTCTCTCTTTAACTCTGCCTGTCAAACAAACAAAAAATGATCTAAATGAAAGATTTCCGCGAGTGAGATCCCAGTGGAAAGAACGGGAAGGAGGTACCTTTCTCTGAAGGGAGGATAGAACTTCCACTTTGACTATGGCCTTGTCTAAATAAGATCAGAGCTGGCAAACTCAAGAGGCTTCCATAGTCTTGGCAGCTCATGACAAGAGCCTCGGGTGATTACTGATGCCATAAACAAGAGTGTCAAGTGTTAAATCAACAACAGGAGTCACTGTGCACTTACTTCCCATGTAGGATCTCTGTCCTTAATGTGTTGTTCTATGTGAATTTAATGGTATAACTAGTACTCAAACAGTACCCTATACTTTGTGTTTCTGTGTGGGTGCAAACTGTTGAAATCTTAGTATACTAAGTTGATCTTCTGTATATAAAAATAATTGAAAATGAATCTTGATGAAGAATGGGATGGGAGAGGGAGTGGGAGTTGGGATGGTTGGAGGTGGGAGGGTGGTTTTGGGGGAAAAAGCAGCTATAATCCAAATGTTGTATTTTGGAAATTTATATTTATTAAATTAAAGTTTAAAATTTTTTTAAAAAGTTAAAAATAAGATCATTAAAAATTCCAACTTCCAAATAAAATATAAGTATACTTTTATTATGTTTATGTAGGAGTAGGATTAATTTCATAGAAGATAAAAGGAAAATTAAGTACAAGTACTGTTTTATGTTTAAATGTTTAATGGAATGGAAGGAATTTGTAGAATATTTACCATGAGAATACACTGACTTGTTTTGCAATTGTAATTCCTTCTCCTTCAAAACTTGTCACCACTCCAGGGTCACTGTACCCCTCACCTCAACTCCTCTTTATTTCTGCATATGATTCCTCCGAAAACCTATTATGAATCCCCCAAAGTCTAGATTTCATTCTTACTGTAAATTACTAACCCAAGTACCTATGAAATATTTTATAATTCTTTATGATTTATCATATAATAGACCAAGCAAGGATAATATCAGGTTTCTATGGTTTTAGGCCTTAACTCATTGCCTGGCAAAAAAATGTAAATATTCTATAAGCATTCATCTTAAAAATAATCATTGCACAAATCATTGTACCCATCGTTATAGAGGATATTGACTATCTACAGACATTAGTCAGAGAAACTACACATGTTGACCAGTAGAATTAGTATAAGATGATACACTTTATTTTTTTCAACTTTTATTTAATAAATAAAAATTTCCAAAGTACAACTTTTGGATTATAGTAGCTTTCCCCCCCATAACCACCCTCCCACCTGCAACCATCCCAACTCCCACTCACTCTCGTATTCCATTCTTCATCAAGATTCATTTTCAATTATCTTTATATACAGAAGATACACTTAGTATGCTTAGAATGCCAGGGCTGATTCTGAGGCCAGAGTGCTGTTTAGGACATCTGCCATTCTCTGAGTCTGCTATGTATCCTGCTTCCCATGTTGGATCATTCTCTCCTTTTTAATTCTATCAGTTAGTTTTAGCAGATACTGGTTTTGTTTGTGTGATCCCTTTGACACTTAATCCTATCATGATCAATTATGATACACTTTAAAACCTAACTTTGAGGGGCCGTTGCTGCGGCTCACTTGGTTAATCCTCCGCCTGCAGTGCTGGCATCCCATATGGGTGCTGGGTTCTGATCCAGGTTGCTCCTCTTCCAGTCCAGCTCTCTGCTTTGGCCTGGGAAGGCAGTGGAGAATGGCCCAAGTGCTTGGGCCCTCCACCCGCATGGGAGACCAGGAGGAAGCACCTGGCTCCTGGCTTTGGATCGGCATAGCGCTGGCCATGGTGGACATTTGGGGAGTGAACCAACAGAAGGAAGACTGTTTCTCTCTCTCACTGTCTGTAAACTCTGTCAAATAAAAAAATAAATAAATAAATAAAAGCTAACTTTGAAGTAGAAGCAAAGGGCTCTGAAGTTTCAAGGAAGGAAAAATCATTACTAGTTGGTAAACTTTCAAAGTGGAATAAGGGATA